GCTGGGATAGGACTTGGAGCTTCATAGAGAGCTCAGTCATCATCTCCTGCCCCACCTCCTGACTTAGCTGGTCCCTCTCCATCAGGGCTATTACCTGTCATGAGGGCTTTCCCTTACTGTCATCTCCTCTGAAACCCAGGGCAAAGGGTTAGGGTCTTACTACTATTGGCTCACTCATGTCTTACTTAACAAGAGAAATAGAGCAAGCTAAAAATATTTTTGTTTGGGTCATGATGACCAATATGAATGAATCAAGTTATTTTTGCTGTTGTTGTTCAAGTCAAGATATACTCACTATCAGAACACTAAATATATCCTTATAACTTCTGTTCATCTTAGTTTCCCAGGGAACATCATAAGAATATTTTATAAGAAAGTTCCTAATATACAGATGGTACCTAATTGTTTTTTTCATCTTCCAAGTTTAAATACTTATAATACTTTTAAAATAGCTGAAAAAATTATGTAGGACTATACAGGATACATATGCTTATTCAATAAATAATGAACATTTTTTTTCTATGTGTGAGGGAAATAATGGTGACTAAGACAGACACAGCCACTGGCCTCGAAGAGTCTTATCCAGGATCTGGAAAGAATTAAGATTTTTGCCAACCCCAATGCCTTCTATAAAGAAAACCCATACCTGCCCAAACCGGTTTGGCTCAATGGTAGAGTGTCGGTCTGCGGACTGAAAGGTCCCAGGTTTGATTCTGGTCAGCGGCATGTATGTTGGTTGCGGGCACATCCCCAGTAGGGGGTGTGCAAGAGGCAGCTGGTAGATGTTTCTCTCTCAACTTTTCTAGCTCTCTATCTCTCTCCCTTCCTCTCTGTAAAAATCAATAAAATATATTTTAAAAAGAAAGAAAGAAAACCCATACCTACCATGTTAATCCTAGAGTGGGAGCTCAGTAGTGGTTAAAGATGATGAAGGATGATCAGTCCCTCCTAAAACTGACTCAGTTATCCAGATATGTCACTATTTAACTGTGGCCTACATTTCCCATCTATTTTGATCAAAGTGAATCTTTGTCTCAGCACATGGGCTGTGAGGTGCCTACAGGTACTTTGCGGACAGTGTAAACATTCACTGCTCAGCATACTAAGGATTCAGATGCTGACATTTGTTTTGCCTCACCTTTTAGGGTGGCATTACAATCCCAAAGACAAGGAGAAACAAAGAAGTCTGGGTTGTACTGAAGAAACACATTGGCCTAAGAGGCATGAGCGATTCATTATCTACCTACTACTTAATTCCAGAACTTGTAGTTACTGAAGTAAGACCCGGGGGACTCTTGTGGTCCCAGATGTTTCAGACTCAGATGTCTATCAAACTTTAAGATATTGATCAACAATAACCTTATGTACTGGAAATTTCCTTGGGACTTCCAATAGGATGAGAGAAGTTGAAATTGGTGGAATTATAACTGTTCAATTAAGTCCACCTATGGTGGCCAAATACTCTGCTTCAGTAGCACTTCTCCTCCATATATAATATCATTCCCTCTTGTACTTTAGGAAATAATTGGGTTAACCAAACAGCAACCCATCACCACCACCATGAATACACACACACACACACACACACACACACACACACACATTTTTTTCACATGGAAAATTCTTACTTATCCTTAAACGCTCAGACCAAATATTCTTTTCTCAGTTTCCTAGAAGCAGGCTCCTGTAACCCTCTGTTCATAATTCTATTTTAAAGTTAATACTCTGTATTTCAAATCATGCATTTACATACAGGTTCCCTAACTGTATGAATTAATCAGCAAGAGGATTGAACTTTATCTTTATCCACAAGCCTCACAGTATACTTAGAACACAGTAAGTGCTTAATAAATACTGCACATTCAAAAATGCCTCGTGAAACAGCAGTAAATATAGGAACATTTTCTTTTTGTGATCAACCATCAAGTTGTTGAGACTACATATTAATCAATTTTTTTCAAAGAGGATACACCTCAAAGTGTTTACTTGGACTAGCCCCCCCTCCCCCCCTCAAATAGTATTGGTGTTAAGAGTAAGATGTATTTCACTTTGAACAATTCAGAACTTAGACTTTCTATTTTGTAATAAAAAATAAAATAAAGCTGGAGGCTACAACTGCCAAAATTTAATTTTATGATGAGACCCAGGAGAACATGATATATTTCTCATGTCTGGGAACTTTTCTCTTACAAAAGACAGATGATGATAAAGAGATACTACTAGTTAACTATGAGACCAGGTGCAACAATGGATTGAAAAGAATGCTCATGTATTATTGTCACAATCCCCCTTTGCAATGGGTGTCAGAAGTATATAGCAGATGTAAACAGCAACATCGTCAGTAAAGGAATCTTTAAAATAAGTGAGCAGATATTACACAACCATCAGTTTCTTTTAAAACATATGCCACCTGCACTAACATACTCCATTTATGAGTCAAATATTTGAACAGGGTAGCTGCTATAGGGAGCAGTTATAGGGGTAAGCCTGGAACTGACCTGTTGGCAAAGCCAAAAACAAGTCCCAGCATAGAGGGCACAGCCCTCTTAGCATAATTAAGCTTGATCTTCTGAGGCTCCCTAGATCTTTCCTGGGTTGTGGGAGGTGTAGCAAGTGCTGGTAAAACAAGAGAAACAAGAATATTGTAAATTACCTTGTTTATCTTTGACTATAAAATAAAGGCTTAGCTTGCAGTTTGGATCTGTTCTGTGGTCTCAGCCAGACACAGAAGATCCACCTAGACACAGCTAATTCTCTTTGTCTATCTTTTCTTCATCCTTCACCGGCCCTCCCTTAGGCTCCCCGAACCCTTGGCTGCCTTAAATTCTCAAAGCTCATTCTGTTCTTCAAATCATAGAATTACGATTTCTTATAAAAAAAATAATGAAAATATTTGCAAGAGCTACATAAATAACGTAAAATAGATTTTTAAAAATCAGGTACACTTTGTATCACTGAGCCAAGGTCCTTGAAAGCAGAGGTGGGTGGGTGGTTGGGAAGAGATAAAAAAAAAAAAAAGTATATGCACATATGCATAACCATGGGCAAAGACAATAGTGTGGTGAAGGCTGGGGCAGTTGTGGCCAAAAAGGGTCAATGGGGGAAACGGGGACCTCTGTAATACTTTCAATAATAAAGATAAAAAATATTTTTTTAAAACAAACATATATTGACATCAGGGAAACCAGCTGAGTCTGAAAGATCTTGTCTTTGGAAACACACATCCAAAGAAGAATTCTATGACAAGATACAAGATTACTGACCATTTTATCTGAAATGGATTGAAGCAGAAGGAAAGGCAGAAGCAATATGCTAAAGTAGAATCGTGATTGGGTTGTTTTAGGAGCTTAGGTTATGCAACTATTTACTGTAATCCACTCTGTTCAGGGAATCAGAGAATGAATCTTCTAGGCAATATGCTGCAAATTGCATCATTAGGAGACACTTCCCACCTGTAATACAAAGATGATGCTCGTCCTTTGTGTGTTACAAGGGACAGAACTTGAGGATTGCAACCAAGGATTTCTTGCAAGCACTTGAAAAGGAAAATAGCAACTTTATCTACAAACACCACTATTGTCCCAATCCTCTACTGAAATAGGTTGGCCCTCTGAGCTGGCAAAAATGTAAGTAAATGCCAGAACTTTCCTAACATAATGAGAACTCTGCCTCCCTCTTTCTAGTGTATAAATTCACACTAGCCAGCAGCATGGAAGAGCTGCACCATGGGTAGTTGTTTGAGTTTAATCGTGAATTGGCTGTGAGCCAGCACCTGCAAAAGACTAGCTTGAGACATCTGATATTTGAAAAAGACAGTCTAATGGACATGCCAAATACTCCTTCTCCTTGATTCTCTAAGCTTGGTATGTTTTAAGTTAGATCATCAAGAAGCAATGTACTTGCACCAAATTATCTTAGATCTCCATAGAAATGCCTTCACTGATTGATGACACAAAGTTTTGCCCTGAGCAAAACTGAGGGTCGATATGGAAACTGTCTCATCAGTGTTTCTATTGTTTTTGTAAAGCTGTAGCAGGCAGTGTCCCCTATGATTGCAAATATCGGTTTTAAAAAGGCCCACAGAAATTCACTTCACTTACCTTGATTCCAAGTAAAGGTTTATTTGTGGGTGTGCTATGCAAGCTTTCTTTTGTCTGTAGTGAACATCAGTTCACTGATGAAGTTTCCTTTAGATGTTTGGAAACTCATAGTTGAATCCATATATCCCTTAACAATAAACTCACCTAGGTTTAATGGCACTATTTTGGGGTAGATTTTTTTTTTAGATCGCATTATGTCTATTGTAGTCATTAACTACCCATTTTACATGATGCACTTGGAAGCTGCTTTTAATCTTTTGAAAATTTTAGAGGCATACATCAGAGTGAATAGCAAAGGAAGCAAAATTCACTGAATATTTTCTTTGTTCCAAGTAGTTTACATATATAACCATATGTGTTACTCAATAACACATTCTTCTGTTTTAAAAATAAGGTTCAGGTATGTCAAATAACATTATCTATGCTACAAAGATAGTAAGAGTCAGAGCTTATATTTGAACCCAATCTTTTCTGGTTTTGTCCAAAACACACCCTCCTATCTATGGCTCCACTATCTATCTAGTAAACTTTAATTTTTTTTTCTGCACAGGCTCATCATGTAATAGAATAGACTTTTTTTTTTTTTTTTTACTTCTTAAGGAGAATTCATTTAGCCATTGATTATACATAGCCTTTCTCAATACTCTTTTCTTTCCACTTAAGAAACTGGAATACATCATGATGAGCATGATAATGCCAAAACAAAACTGCTGGTTCATCATCTAGAGAACAAATACACACTTAATTGCTTGACACTTTATTGAACACAAAGCAAGATTAAACATCACTGCCTTCATGGTACAGAGCTGAAGCAGGAACCCAGGCAGAGGGAGACAGCATAGCTTTCCTTTGTGGGGGAAATGTGCCCTTCATAGTCCCGTCCTGTTGTGGGAAGACTAACTAACCCATGTTCTGTCGGTTGCCGTAGCCCCTAGGATGGGTGTCCTTCCAGTCATCCCACTCCTGAGCTTGGTCGTGTGTTTTCTCATCATCCATTTTCTCCTTTTGTTTCTGCTCTTCCAATTTCATTTTGACCTCGCATGTTGTCTCGGGTGTTCCCTGACCTGGTAATGTTCCACATTTCCCATATTGGTCATACCAGTCGCTCACCGTCATAGACGCCAGACTCGGGTAACCAGCTCCAAATACTTTGGCGTGGGTCAAATTCCGAGCGAGAATGAAGGGTCTCCCTGTAGGCCTGTCCTGAAGAGATGAGTGTGAAGTCGATGCGTCCGATAAAGAGTCTCTTCCTCTCAGGATCGTCATCTCCTGGTCGATGCTCTCAATCTCTTCTAAGCTGATAACAATCCACCTTCGGAGGTGGAGGAGGTAATATTCACGAACATTCTCGTCATCTACTTGGCCTCTTTCCACGGCAGATTTCAAGGCAGACAGCCTCTGCTCCACCTCCTTCTTCTGCTTGTATCTCTGTATTTTAGTCTGTCGCTTAGTTGCCATGTCAAGGAGACTAGGATGGGCCACGGCTGGAACGGCAGTGTTACTGTTATTTTCAGTCGGGTTGTTGTTGTTGTTGGTTTGGGGCAACTGGAACTCTGCCAAGTGATAGAATTGGCACTGACTTAAGTAGTTTACGAAGCGCTCCCGAGCCCACTGCAGATGATCTAGACGCTTTTGGGGGTTGACTTGTTTCATGGCCAGGGCTCCTTGAAGTGCTGGCACCAGCAGGTACTTCAGGTCTGTGGAAGCAATCTCTTCCAAATCTTCGTTTGGGCTGAACAGGTCGAGCTGCGACAACATTTGAGCTACCTTCTCAAGATGTCTGAGTCCCTCTGATACCTTCTTTTGGATCACCTTGGAAGTGCTGGGTTCAGCTGCCTCTTCCACTTCATCCAAAAGTTGCTTGCTAGTTTCGAACAGCTCTGGGAGCCGCGGCAGCAGCGACTCTTCTGCTATTGACATCTTGGGAAAGAGATAGACATTAATTTTTATATTAAGTTTATACTGAGCTTGATTGAGTTAATTAAGTAAACAACTGTTCCCTTTTGCAGCTTTGTTATGCGATTAAAATCAAGTCAGGAATGTACTTTGAGAGAATTTTTAAATGATATACAAATGTGATGTTTTATTACCTATTACTCCATTATATTGATCATTGCAAGATTTGAATTACTGTGTTAAAATATAATGCTTGTATGTGAGCATGTAATTATAAATCTTGAGTGCTCCACTATTCACTCTATTAGTGCTCCACAATGATTTTTAATCAATTGGAAAGCTGAAAAGGGCTTTGATAAAAGCCCCTTGAATGTGAAATACTTTACTAAAGTTCATTAACAAATGACAGTCTAAATTAAACTTTAGTTCATAAAATTCCTATTCTGATGAAGAAATCATTCTACTACCATACATATAGTAGCTCTTATAAGCCATATGAAATCATGCATTTGAAAATCCTACAGTGGTCTTCTGACCAGGCATTTCATAGATGAATAGAAAAACTATCTCTTTTCTGTGTCCTGAGGAATAACCACAGGCTTTATAAAATGATCCATGGTCTCTAAACACAGGCAAGCAGACAAGAACAGTTGCTTCTCTCTTCATCCCAGCCTGAATCTTCAGCCAATATTAAAGTGCAACCTCATTATGCTTGATCCTATTTCATTAATATCTCTCTCTCTCTCTCTCTCTCTCTCTCTCTCTCTCTCTCTCTCTCTCTCTCTCTCTCTCTCTCTTTCTCTCTCTCTCTTTCTTTCCCCCCAGCTCTTTATCCTTCCAGAAAATGACTTTTGCTATTTCAACTCTGACATTAATTATATTGTTCACATTGTGTGTTAGCCCTACTTCCTTTGTCTTGTAAGAAAATATTTTAGCTCTCTCTCTAAAAGAGATTAGATCCAAGATGGCTGCTCAGGTAGACATCTAACCGCGGCAGCACACAACAATTTCAATGGAATACAACTAAAATGTAGAGTGGACATTGCCCAGAGCTAAAGGTAGTCGACTGACTGAAAATTCTACAACAAGAAGGAAAGAGAAAACCAGAAGGAAAATCAGAGGAGCTGAAAAAAAGCCTAAGGTATAGAGACATGCTGCGCGCCTGCCCGCACGAGCGCACGGAGAGGTCGCTGCCAGAGAGGAGGAGAGGGCTGGGTGCTGCCTGGCGTTCCCTAGCAGGAAGGAAATAAAACCCCCAGCCTGGGCTGAACCCCTGAACCAGCAGCGCTGAGCCCCTCAAACCGGCAGTGCTGAGCCCCAGTTATGGGCCAGACCCTGGGGACCCAGGCTCCAACAGGGGGAGACAGGGCTGTGAGGCGGAATCCCAGAAGAGCGGCGAAAAGCAGGGCCCCCCGGAGTCGCGCGCAATGCACGCGCAGAGGACTGAATGTTGCCTCTGATGCTGGGTTACCCTAGCCAGAAGAAACAAGGCCTCCGGCGGCGCTGAGCCTCAGTCCGGACTGCTCTGAACCCCAGTTCTGGGCCAATCCCTGGGGACCCAGGCTCAGGCAGAGGGAGACGGAGCTGTGAGGTGGAGTCCGGGGAGAGCGGTGAAAGGCCGGCCCCTGGACTCGCGCACACTGCGCGCAGAGGACAGTCTGTTGACTCTGATGCTGGACTCCCCTAGCGGGAAGGAGAAAAAAAGCTCCACGCTGGGGGAACGCAGCAGGAAGCGGGAGCCCCTGCCGGACACCGGCCAACCGGGAACCAGCAAGGAGCCGGGCGACGGGGCCCCTGGGAGGTGGGTGCCCCTGAGCCTTCGACCGCTGAGCGCGGGCAATGGAGCCAAGGCAGGGGGCTGTTTCCTGGGCGGCGCCGTCCCCAGCAACAGGCTGAAGCAGCGCAGGAGCCCGCGGAGAACAAAGGGGTGCCACAGGCCAACCTGCTTAGCGCCCAGGACAAGGAGGAAGAAACCAAAGAAGTTCTCAATGTGAAGAAATCAAGTGAGAGCAAAAGACAGTAAAATTACTTAAGAAAGAATACAAAGAAGTTCTTGAAAAATCAAAGACTAAGTCAGAACTCAACTCATCAGCCAACATTGCAACATAAATGTGTTTTTTAAAAAAAAGAAAGAAAAAAAAAGGACAGAAAGTTGGAACAGCGGCGGCCAGGCCTAGAGTGGCTAGGCACAAGGCAGTGGCAGCCAGGCCCGGAGCAGCAACGGCCAGGCCCCAGAACAGCAGCAGCCAGAACCAGAGCATACACAGCCAGCACTGGAGCAGCCAGACCTGGGGCAGTGGCAGCCAGGCCTGAGGCGGAGGCGGCCAAGCCCAGGGTGGCCAGTCCAGGAACAACCAGACCCAGAGCAGCTGGGGTGGGAGCAGCCAGACCCAGAACAGCAGTAGCCAAGCCCAGAGCATCCAGGCCGGGAGTGGCCAGGATCGGAGCGGCCGGGCACGGGGTAGCCGGGCGCAGAGCAGCCGGGTCGGGTGCAGCCAGGCCCGGAGCAGCGGCTGCCAGGCTGGGAGCGGCCAGGCCCGGGGGAGCAGCCAGGTCGGGTGCGGTCAGGCCCGGAGCAGCGGCTGCCAGGCTGGGAGCGGCCAGGCCCAGAGCAGCAGCAGCCAAGTCCAGAGCAACTAGGTCGGGAGCGGCAGTTCCAGACCCGGAGCAACTGGTTGTGGAACGAACCAGAGCAACAGAGGCCAGGCCCTGAGCAGCCAGGCCCGGAACAGCTCGCTCCTTGCCTGCCCCTGCCCCATGGCTGCCTCTCAGACATGGCTGGAAACTTTCGTGGGAACTTGAGGGTCTGATGAATCAAGTGATGAAGGCTTAGATCTGGATGTGTTGAGTTAGTATAGGGCTGGGGTGTTGATCTGTGAGTGCCTTGGGTGGGGCCTGGATGAGGCTAGTTGATCTATTGGGAAATGTCTTTTGTGTGAAGTGTATCATTGGGCATGTGGAGGTATATATGAGAAAATGCTAAGTAACTGATTTACTATCTGAAAAGGGATTTACTATCGGGGAAAGGGAGGGAAGAAGAGACTGAACATAAACTGTGCACTTATGGATGAGGACAATGGGGGATGGGGAGGGGTTGGAGGGTGGGGTGGGAACCTGGTGGAGGGGGGAAGAAATGAGGAACCTTTGTAATAATATGAACAATAAAGATTGATTTTAAAAAAAAGAAAATATTTTAAAACATGCTGCATTAGAAACCATGATTATTTTTCTAAGCATCAACTGCAAGTATTACACAATGAAAATATCACCATAATGAAAAAAAAAAATCTGGTGCTACTTCATTATTAAGAAGGTATATAACTTAGGATGGACACTGCAGGCCTGGGTGCTACTTAAAGCTTAATTCCTTTGATTTGACATTTAGCAAACTGCAGACAAAATGTTATCTATTTTAAACTTAATGAACTGCATTATCTTAACTCAATCCCTGCCCACAGTTTACCATCACTAGTGGCTGGAGTGAGTATTTATTTTACTTTTCATTTTATTTCCAAAGGTTGTTGGCCATTGGCCAAATCAAATATCAGAAGGTAAGAAATTTCATGGAAGCTCCTGGTGCTCTATAAATATAAATACAAATAAATTAATATGTGACCCTAAACCCATTGTAGTAAAGACAGTTCCAAGCAGACCCTGATAGTCTATTAGAGAAGTGGTAGAAAGAAAAGTTGGGGTTGCAAAGATGAGAAACACCATCCCTTTCTTAGAGGAGCATCTCTGATCCAAAAGACCAGCACGGAGGGGCCTGCCTACCAAGCAAGTTGAGCATGTCTGGGAAACTTCACAGTCCCTGGAGAGCCAATGCAAACAAAGAAAAAGTAGCAGGAAAAGAAAGAAGCATGTGCGCATATTTGTCAAGTTTCATTGTCAGGAAGCAGAACCCGAGGCAAAGACTTGGATGTAATCTGTAAGAGAGAGAAGGAAGCAGAATGGAGGAGAGCAAGCCAAGCCAGGATGTGGTGTCAAGTGAAATCTCCAGTTGGTCTGATGGGTTGGAAATAGGCAAGACTCTAGAATAAGGGTCAACCGTTTTTGTGTTTGTGTTTTTCTGTGAAGGGCCAGATAAGTCTTTCATGCAAATACTCAACCTTGCCATTGTAGATGTAAACAGCTATAGCCAATAAAATAAATGAGCCTGGTTTGTTCTAACAAAAATGTTATCTACAAAAAAAAGTCAGTAACACAGATTTAGAGGAGGAACCATAGTTTGCTGACTGCTTCTCTGGAGTATAAATCATACCACAGAGTAGTGTGGCCCACCTCAGAGGCAAGGAGTTTGGCATTTTGTAGTGTGTTTCAATCAGTCATCACCTGTGGAGCTAGGGTGGGGGTGGTACCTAGGCTCCAAGACGAGGTGGGTCCCATCAACCAGGACAGTGGTTCTCAAGCTTCACTGTGAATCAGAATCACTTGGGGCTCTACAAAGCACAGATTTCTGGGCCACACCCAAGAGAGTCTGGTTCAGTAGTTCTGGAGTAGGTTCTGAATCTGTAGTAGCTATTTTCCAGGTAAAAGTGTTACCTTTTTGGGAGCCATTCCTTTTGATCAGATGATGCTCCCGAGGAGGGGCAGTTGAGATCACTTTGCAGCCAACCCGACAGCTAGAGGCCTGATGCACTTGTCTGGTGAAGTGTTTCAGCAGGGCACCAACAGCGTCCAGTATAATCCTTCAAGTGTGCAGTATGGAAAGATACATTTTGAAAAGTAAACCTCTGAGTAAGGAAATGTTTATTCATGCCACATTCTCCTTTTGATGAGGCTGCTCAGTCTTGAAATATTATTGCTTAGCCTATTCTAATCCAACTATTTCCTAACACTGAGTTGTAGTCTTCTGAGCATCTTTACTTATTCATATTTGTTTTCTACCATGTGTTTATTGATGCATCCATTGGTATTGGTTAGCATATGAATCTTTGTTAAATTCTAATCTTCTTGAGAGCACAGATCATGTTTTCTCCTAATTATATAACTATCAAGAGAAGACAATTCTCTCTCTTCATAGC